ATTGTAGTGTCAACAAGGCATGATGCAAAATGAAAATTAAAGCATGTTGTAAAGAATCATCTCCCAGATGCATCAGTGACGCTTCCCAGGCTCGAAGAGCCCAGCGAACATCAGCTGTCCAAAAAGAAAAGTTTACAAATCTGTATAGAGGCCTGGCCCTCCACGTTAGGCCTGGTGTGCTTCCATGATGGGGATGCTGGCAAACAAGAAGAACAGCATAAAAATTCATGCTCCGCTCCAGGCCCCGCTCTCGGTTCAATTGAGGGGGTGCAGAAGACGAATTTTGATGTTGACTAACTTTGAAACCAACCGCAAGAGCACCAGAAATTGCACAACAGACACACCAGACCAGTAGCAAGGCACCGCGAAAAACAGCAATCGTTGATTCTCGCACAGGGCGGCAGTAGAAGCTGCTCAAAACATACATTTCACGAGTCCACCTCCACACGCCTCCTTTGAAATCAGGTTAGTACTTCGCACTATTCTACAGTCAAGTAAAAAGAGCCAAAACGGAAGGCGCTCAAACAAGGTCACTTTTTGAGGGTTAGGTGTCGCATTCTTTTGTCATCAGTAGAGGACATCATGAAGATGCGTCGTGCGTGCTGGCACGTTCAGGTTTGCTACTGAAGCTGAAATATCGGAGGTCGCAGTAGCCTCTGAAAACAGTCCGAAATCTGCGCCGGAACCAAGCAGCATCCAACATTTGTCACAGCCGTGCTCGCCACCACTGACCCCAATCTCCTGAACTGCGGGTTTACAACAGTAGCTGATGCCACTAGCTACTGCTGACAACCCGTGGTTGAGCGGTGTACGGTCCGTGGCGGTGAGCACGGCTGTGACAAATGTCGGATGCCGCTTGGTTCCGCCGAAGATTTCGGACAGTTTTCAGAGGCTGCTGCGACCTTTGATATTTCAAGGCTTCTCTCGGGAACGATTTCTCAATTCGGTAGCGATTGGTACGGGAACCAGCGAACACGGTAATGCACGGTAATTTTTGGGTGGTAACTGGCCATTACGGTGACTCCCGTACGGGAACTAGCCACCACGGGAATGCACCGTAACGTCGGATGAAAACACTTCACAAAGCGATCCACTGCAACTGTGTTGCGCTTTTTTTTCAGTGCGCGTGACACCCAAACAGCGCGTTCCACAAAGGACACGAAAAAACACACGAACGAATGGAACCTATGGCATTTCGTTTTTCAATTGTTTTGAGACCACAGGCGAAAATCTCGCGGTCAAGTTACCGAAAGACGAGGCAAAAGACGAAGGATAAAACAAACGAACTTCGTCAGTACGTCCAGAGCGACACCTCGAAATATCCATCACTTGATCACTAACCATATCTCAGCTACGTGAGGACTGAACGCACCAAACTTGTCTGCCAGACGATGCATAAACCACCAGCTACCACGTACACGCATATCGAGCTCAACGACAAGCAGTGTGTACCGTATCTGCGTCACACCGCAGGCAAGCAGTTCACAACAACAAACAAAAAATACAAAAGACACCGCATTACGGCGATGCTCAAAACCAATACCAATTCAAAGACTCAAGGCACAAAAAAGAATAGATTCTCCTTTCGTTTGATGGTGATAGAAGCGAGATAAAAAAAAAAAACAGAAATGAGAAGGCGACGATGTGGAGCATCGAACCAGCCACATACTGTGCCACAAGCTTCAGACAGCCCCCTCAGCGATGTGTACGGTCAACATGTTTTGTTCCTGTGCGGTACCGGGAATTCTACATCTCCCCGGTAATTGCTTGGGTGGTAACCAAAAGCCACGGGATTTCTACATTTTGCACGGTAATTGCTTGGGTGGGAACAACAGTAGTAATTTCACGTCCTTGGTATGCTTACCATTTGGATGGGAATGAGAGGAGACCATTTGCTCGGTAATGATTTGGATGGGTACGGTAACCGGGAATGATCACGGTAGCTTTACCAATTACTTTTCCTGTGGAAATCACGCGGGAAAATTGCTCGGAGAAATCCCCGAGAAAACCCTTGGATATTTCAGCTCCAGTAACACACCTGAACGTGCCAGCACGCACGAGTCCTCTTCATGGTGTCCTACTGATGACAATAGAACGCGACACCTAACCCTGGCGGGAAGGTTGCTTTCTTTCTTTGTATAGGATTGAAGTTTAGGAGAAAGAGCCAGCGTCACAACCCCTTCTCTGCGCCCCCTCAAAGAGAAAGAATGCAACTTCTTGGCCTCCCAAATTGGCCAATCCTTGCTATCTTTGTCTCTGAGTTCACCTGTGCTACCGTTGAGTAGTTTTGTTATTCCACGCTGTCCAGCGGGCCTTCTCTGCACGTGGAACTCTCCGAGGACGTGACCACTCCAGAGGACTCTCCCAATCTGATACCCCGAAACACAGGAACAAAAACGCCTCTGGCAAAGTAGACGGTTTCAATAAACGGTAGTCTGCATCCGCCAAGTCTGCCTCACCAAACTTGCTTCTTGTAAACTTTCTTCAATGAAATTGACGCGCAGACTTCGAGCAAGAAACTTACGGGCAAGGAGGCGGAGGTTAACCAGGCGCTGCACCTGTTCGCGGCGACGGAGCTCCGCAAGGCGTACGGCGCGGGAGACGGTCAGCTTGCCTCTCTGGGTAAGCCGGGCGTAGCTGCTTGTGTTGTTGTTGTTGTTGTTGATCTGATGCTGAGGTCAGCCGGACGCAGCTGCTTCTGTTGTTGTTGTTGTTGTTGTTGTTGATCTGAGGCCGACGTCAACCGGATGAAGCTAATTCTGTTGTCGTCGCTCTCATGTCGGGACCTGATTGGTCCCGGCCTGTGGCATGGGGAGTTGTGACCAACCTGTGTTACCTTACCCACCCACCCCACCCGTTGTTTTGTTGCCACATATTTTCTACCTTTCAGCTCGTTGGTTTCTCAGGTGTGGTGGGTGCCCAACCCTCCATCTTGAGCCTTGAGCGTAGCAACAAAAAAACACTATTTTAGTCATACCGTTTGTGGGCCCAATCGCCAGTTGTACCTTGGGAGGCTCAAGGTTGCTGATCGAGCAGTACAAGTAGTTACTGGTATTGAGACAGTTTTGCGGGCATGTTTGCGATGGCAGGTGCGACTGACGCAGCGCACGATACCCCTGCCCTTCCAACGTGCATCTATTTCACTCGCGTGACCGTCATCCTGCCAACCCTAACCTTAAACCCCAACCTTGTTGGTGTTATTGTGAACACGTGAAAGACCATTCAAGACCATGTCGTCCGTGAAACTAAGGCTATTCTGTGGAAACGAAACCGCCCCGCCCCCCGCCCCTCGCCCCCCACCCCCCGCCCTGTCCTCGCCGACCCCCGGCGTGTCACCTCAAAAATGCTCGTGTTTTGTTGCTCTCGCAGCTGACGTTGTAATCAAGACTCAAGCTTCATCCTTTTCCTCAGATCGATAGGTGTCTCCGAAGCATTGGTCGTAGCGAAAATACATATGAAGGGGGGAGGGCAGGGTAACTTGGTGGATGGGCGTAGACCGCAAAGTCAAACTACGTCCCAACCAAGAGCGGGGACGGA